CTTCCTCCCCAGGTGCATCACTTTGCACTAGTCAGTGTTGAATCCCATCCTGTTATCATCCGCCCACCCCTGTAACCTGTCTAGGCCTGATTGCAGCCTATTCCTTCCTCCTAGCGTGCCCACTTCTCTCCACATCTTAGTGTCGTCTGCGAATTTGAACAGGGTGCTTTTTACACCCTCGTCCAAGTCACTGTCAAATAGTAATTCCAAAATAACCAATGTGGATTGTAGCTTTGTGGGGCCACACCTTCGGAAGCCTTTTTGCTGCAAATTAGTCACAATTATACTTCCTGGATGGTTTCATCCATAGGGAAAAAAGGTTTCTAATTTTTTTACAGTATGCTTCTGAACTTAAATTTAAAGTAGATCGATCCTGGTTTCAGTTGAAGCCTTCATGGTGAATTGAATATTTGCATGAATACCAGGTAGTCCTTCTGAAGTAGGAGTCTGGCCTTCAAATTGCTGATATTAAAACTATTACAGTTATATAATATCAGTACAGAAACTTTAGACCATATTTGGAGAAAAACAGTACAGGCCCCAGATAATCTGGTTTTGAAATCTGCTCTCTCTCATGAATCAGAAATGACAACACAGGGAGGGGTAGAACACAGGCAAACACAGCATGATGATGCTGCACTTGGAATATAGCAATTAGGGTCTCATTTACTTAATCTTATATCCTAGGTTCTTATTTATAAGCATGTTAGACCATAGAGCCAATACACATGCAATTTTAGTGTTGCCATCACAAAAACCTGCTAATCAGGAATGTATTTTCCCCTAGTAAAACTTTCCTTTTGTGTCTATATATTTTTACCACTGTTCAGACTGGCTCATCTTAGCAAACAACAAGACTTGCATATGTGTTTTTTGAAGTAGGATGGTTACAAAAAAGTAGTGTGTAGCTATTTAATGTACTGAGCAGTCTGATAGGGACAAGCATCCTGACTTCCCAGTAAGTTAGGCTTCACGTTTCTGAAGTGGCACACCCAAAAAATAGACATTCTGCAAATTGGTAGGTACTTTTAGAGATTATGATCATGAAGAGAATAGTCACTTTAGTTACATAATTATTTCCTTGTAGTTTTAATCAGGAAGACATAAAAATATTTTAGCAGAAAGGAGACAAAAATTATAAGACGTTTCTCAGTATTCCTTCAAATAGTGAGTATTAATATTTTTTGCCATAGATGTGCTTTCTTGTTTTATAGTGCACCTTTTGCCTCTAGCTGTAGTCATAGGAAAAGAAATAAAGTAAATCTCACTCTAACTGAAAACCAGCAGTAAAAAAAAGAATGTTGATTATGCTGGAGCTTACTCTTGCTTATTTCAGAAGAGTAGATATTATTCTGCCTGTTCAACCTCCTGCCTGTCTGGCTCACTGATCAATTTGGGCAGTACTGTTTTGGGTATAGATAATCATGTATTTTTTATCATGGTGGATCCTAAAAGTTTCAATCTAGAATTGGGGCCTCATTCCATTAGGCACTGTAAGTACAATAATATGATGTTCTTTGCTTGAGATGACTATCCAAGTGTGAGAAGCAGCTAAATATACCAGGCAGGGAGTACTGAGTCACCTGTATTTTCACTTTTCCTTTTCCTTATATAATGCAATCTGTAGGCTGTATGGGTAGAGAAATAGCATCAGGTTGATTTAATTCATTTAGAAACTGACCTGACATATCTTTCATTTCTTTCTGAATTAGGTTGACACATCTTCCTCTTTCACTGACTACCTTAAAGCTAAAGGCTTTGTGGTTGTCTGATAACCAGTCCCAGCCTTTGCTGACGTTCCAGACTGACACAGACCCTGAAACAGGAGAAAAGATTTTAACGTGTGTATTGCTTCCCCAAATACCTTCTGAGCCTGGTTGCCAAGGTAAACACTTTTAAACTTATTCCAATATAAAACAAAAATGGCTTCTCTGGGTAGTGTATTGTGGCTTCTTCTAGAGGTATACAACAGGTTTTGGTTTATCCCTTTTAAAAAAAAAAAAAAAAAAGTGATTAGAAATGAACAAAAATTTAGGCTGGAGTTTTTTTGCTAAATGGCTTTTCTTACTGATTTCTATTGTAATGCACTTACAGTTAACTCCAGTGCGTGAATAATAATTTTTTACTGAATATGAATATGAAGACAATAAAATATTGTCTAAAACATTGAATATCTAATCATATATCCCAGATATGCAAAAAGATTCAGTAATAGAGATTACATGTGCACAGTAGGTATGCACCGAAAAACAGGCATGTGACTATGGAACGGAGTTGAAAGTTTTTAATTGTTCTTAAAAAGATAATAATAAAAATAATAATAATAAATAGCTGATGCCATAATGAATAGACATAGTTTCTAGAATATGGCCTCTCTATCAGTGGTAGTAGGCTCCCGTCCAAATGGAAATACTGCACAGTAACTGCTAAAAGAATAGATTATATCTTTTATTGAACTGTGTAGTTTGGAGAGATGTTAGACTTGTTTTTGACACAAAATGACCCAGGAGCATTTTGTATCCAGAACCTTGTCTAAAGATCTCTTCTGACTAAATAGTTGGGTCAGTAGAAGTTATTAATAAATCTTGCCTCTCGCATATTCCTCGGGCTACAACTACAATAATGCTACTAAAAGAATAGATGAAAGTTTGAGAGGAAGTGGATTAAATTGTTAACTCCTTTGGTTTGTTCCTTCAACCTCAAACCCAGCTAATATTTGAGCTGCAGCATGTATAATAAGTGTCTTTGGGTCTTAGGTGAAATTTTAGAATCCTTTGCAATGTTTGCTGTGTTACCACTTAAGTTTGAATACTCATGTATCATTGAAAGATGCTAGCTATATATTAGCATTTTGGGTGAACTCCACTGGGAGCTCTGTGCCTCCATGGCGAGGCTCCCCCTGCCTGCCCGGCAGCAGGTGAGGGCACAACTCCGTGTTGCCATCCCAGCTCTTGTCAGGCGGGCAGGGGGTGCTTTTCCATGACAGTGCAGGGCTTGTAGTGGTGGTGGCACTGAGCTTCCCTCCCTCACTCTGCCCTGCTGCTCTGGGCCCTGCTTGCTGGGCTGTGGAGGCCCTGTGGGGAGGACAGCAGATGGGGAACCCTGAGCCTGCAGCAGGCAGCCTGTCCCCTCCCCACATGCAAATCTGGGGGGCATATGTCCTCCAGGAAGTGCGTCCAGTGGAGGGGATCTAGCCCCTTTCCTGCCACCCATGGCTCCATCCCACTCCCTGCCCAGGCCCTGTGGCCGTGCATTCCAGCCTGGAGTCCCAAGCCCCAGCCCCACCCCTGCCCAACTCCCTCCGTCCCTCACTATGGGATCTTCAAACCTCCCCCACCAGAGTTACCTGTAGGAGCTGCTCTCCAGGCTGCCTGGTGGCCATGTGTATGTGCACACGTGCACCTGGCGCATCATGCCTGACTGCCCTCCTCCTGCTCCTCCCAGCCCCTTTCAGGCTGGAATTCTGCTAGCCTGTAATGGGAAACCCACTGTTTCCCATGTTTTTCTCCTTTTCTTCATTAGCGACCTGGACGAGGGTGTGGCGAGCACCCTGTTCAAGTTTGCTAATGACACCAAGCTGTGGGGTAAAGTGAATACACCGGCAGGCAGGGACCGCATCCAGGCAGACCTGGATAGGTTAGAGAAGTGGGCGGATCTGAACAGGATGCGGTTCAACAAGGACAAGTGCAGGGTGCTGCACCTGGGGCGAAGGAACCAGCATTATGGTTATAGGTTAGGGGCTGACCCTCTCGGCAGCACAGAGGCAGAGAGGGTCTTGGAGTCAGGATTGACTCCAGGATGAATACAAGTCGCCAATGCGACGAAGCAATAGTCAGAGCCAACCGCACCCTGTCTTGCATCAACAGGGGCATCACTAACAGGTCCAGAGAGGTCTTGCTCCCCCTCTATGCGGCGCTGGT